TACCAGCCATCGCTTCATTCATTTTTGTGATTCAATTATTATTCGAAAACATGGGCCGTCACACTTCAAATCTGTGGCATTAATCTTGCCAAACAACTCAATTGAAGTCTACTGATCGTCTGCATTCTTTTTATTTGGAAACAACAATTAAACAATTAACAGAGTAAATAAAGAATGCTTTCTAGAAAAATCTAAGATAAATTATCACTAATCAAGAGGTAATCATTGACGGTGAGCAGCATTACAAATATATGTTGCAAGCTTGCAACCCCATACTCCATAAAATTGGTTGGATGCATCTCCAGTTGCTTGTTTCTGCCCCTGCTCCTTTCCTGGACCCCATACACTGCGACTCATCACTGTGAGAACTCTTAGGAAAGTTAAATGTTACTACGACGTTTAAAAAAAAAAAAAAAAAAAACAGCTTCATCTTCCCTTTCCGATGATTGCTCATTGATGCTGCTGGGATGAGGATAAAAAAGCTGCAAGATCAGCCTCATTTCTTCTTAAATAGGAAATGAGCAACCATCCATTCTTCCCCATTATTGTACCCAAATAACTCAGCCACTGCTATGAAGAAGGTTCTCCAATATACTATCCACTTTACAGCTGAGTCTTTGCCATAAGTCGACTCCATTATTGGCCTTATGTAAGCCAAGTTACGGTCCATTCTGTTAAGCCACTCCTCGCTGAAAAAATGATAAAAAGGTCTATCAACATGCTTCTCTCTACTTATCTTAATTTATAAATCTAAGCCAACTTGTGATGAAACTTGGTAAGTTAAATTTCTTGGTAGGCTTAAGCTGCAGTTAAATATTGTCAATCTTGCTTTCTAACCTTGTTTGCGCGTAATGCTTCCCATTTTCAAGCCAGTGGTTGACAATAGAGACATCATCCTGCAATGAGATCACCCTTAAGCAGCTAGATATAATTGACTCTGTAATGTGTTATAAGGATGAGAATATGGGATCAAGACTGCACAGATCTAAACCTTAATATTAGACTTAGCAAACAATGGGATTTGTATTAGGTGGTTGCTGTTGCTAAAATGATGGTGAATGGCAATCTCAGACAGAAACCAGATAAATCGAGGTGTTTGAATGACAGAAAAGTAATATGATTACAATTTCCAACTGAGAGACAGGGGATTGGCAATAATCAAGATAGACCAGTTCATGCTTAATACTCGCTTTACTCGAAAATCATTGTTCCCTCAAATTTTTTGTTGAGATAATAATTGTCATTATAACAGTGTAATACGAAGTATAGGTTAGCAATCTGACAATAAAATCTGGAAGGTAGTATGATACAAGTAGTAATGAAGCTAATGATCATTCATGAGCAAACGAAAGAAATGTTGCAAATAAGAGACTTTGTGTTGCAGTAATAAGTTATGGTTTCCACAGGCTAACCTGAAAGTACAGGAGCAGATTTGCAGCAGGCATTGTGCCTCCAGTGAAGAAATACCGAGTGATCCAGTCATCATCATTAATATCCTGCATACAAGTGTGTGAACAAAGTTCTCAATACTTCATAGCCGACTCAAATATGCAGTAGCTCATTGAAACTCAGCAAGTAAATATATACAAGAAAGAACAGTATGTCTAAACAAGATGAAAGTACCTCAAAGTGGTATGCAAAAGCTTTATGACAGAAATAATGAACAAATAGAAGGCCATCAGGTTTCATCCAATTGGATATCTTCTTTAGAAGATCTCTGTAATTTTTCATGTGCTGTAGAATTAATCATCAACAAATCATATCAAAATCCTAAACTTTGCTATTATGATATATCTAACTTACTGATGAATAGTACTAGTATTCCTAGGTAATACTGTTAGTCATACCTCAAACATTTCGATAGACAGTATCCGATCATAAGATCCCTCCATGTCAAATGTGCTTATATCTGCTACTATGATCTCAACGTTTTTCATCTGAAGATCCCTGAAACATAAAAATATGCACACCTTAGAGCTTGTTCTAGTTATATACCCTCCTCCGTCCTGTTAACATTTAGTCTGCACTGTTTAGATATGTTAACTTAATTGCAGGACAAAGATTTGCAAGGAATATGTGTAAGATGAAGATGAATGAAAGACGCACCTGCACCTATCCTCAATGTGTGCTTTCTGCGTTACTGAATTGCAAATTCCGGTAACCCTGCAGTTACTGTACTTTTGTGCAATGTACAAAGCAAGCGACCCCCAGCCACATCCAACATCAAGAACAGTATGACCATCTTGTATCCCTGACCTCTCACAATATAATTCTAACATTGCTTTCTCTGCATCATCTAGGTTTGTCTGCTTGTCAGAAAAATAACAGCAACTGCAACCAAGAGGCAGAACAAATGAATGGGAACAGACAATCATCAATTCAAAGATGCACATCTTTGTAGTGCTACTACCATACTACATTGTCAAAAAGAATACAACTTTTTTTTTTATTTTCACCTGTATTTGAGATGCTTTCCTAGAACAAGCTTGAAGAAAGAAGTAGGCAGCTCATAGTGTTGAGATTTCGCCTTATCAGTCTGAATTGCTATTGGCATTTCTCTTAACGCTGCAAAAGAAGATATAGTTAATCAACTACTGCTTAATTGATCAGCAATCCGACACATACTTTGCAAAATTGGTGGAAGCAAAATACACGAAGGTTAGGGCAGTCTTCTTCCAAGGCTACATCCTGCCTTCTGAATTTAATTGTCGTTTAATCAGATTCCTAACAGCCTTAGACAAGCATAATTTGTCAATGTGTGTTATATATCATCTCCTTAACATTTAACTAACAGCCTTTTTAGAAAATGCAAGGGTAGCACATGTGACTATTAAAATCGAACAGACTCAACAGAGAAATTGACTCTTCTCTAAGCAATGCAAAGACGAGATTAATGGACATTACACATAAGCCTTATCTCTACAAGAACGGGGATATATTTTCATAGTTAGACATTCAATCATCCAAAAATTGTTAATTACCTCTATCACATGATTAACCATCCAAAGATCAATAACACCCACATTCCAAAATACAGTTAGATAACCAAATGTTCCATCATTTGGAAAATGTACCAGCATAACACTACATGATTACTAGTATCATTCAAACAAAAACTCATACCATATAAAAACATATGCTAGACAACCATTTTTCATTTTTTCTTTCCGTCAATCATTAATAGTCACGTTGACAGTGTAATTTAAACCGCTATTACAAAATTATAAATAAAAAAGAGGCAAGAAAACATTACAATGAACAAAGTGGAGAAGATCAGAGAGTTGAAGTTGAGAAGAAGATTTGTAGGAAGAACGAATGCGACTGGCTAAGAGAAGGCGAGTAAGGCGTCTAATAAGAGCATCAGGCAACAAGTTTCTTTCATGTGCGCCTAGCATTAGCTTGGTAGTTGCTTTGTATGCCATTTGCTTCATTTCCTCCATTTTTTCTCCTGTATTTTCACTGCTTTGTTTCTCTGTATCTCTTATCTTTTGTTGCCTGATTGGAATGTAGAATTGTGGTGTTTGGATAGATAAGTGTGGTGATGCACCAGGCCACGTTATTGGCATTTGTCAATGTACTGAACCCCCCTTTGCCCCTCTTTTGGCCTTTTGGGCCCGCCTAAAAATCATTTTAAGTGATAGCATTTATCAATCAATAGTATTATTAAAACTCCAGGTAAGGAGTATCATTCTGCCATATGTCATTTTTAGTAATTGACAAGCACCACATAAGCAATTATATGTCAGTGTGATAACAATAGCAATTTTTACCACCATTAAGTCATTACTTGATTCATTTATCATACATTTAATTTTTACCTTGATTTACGCTAAATAATTCAATGGTTTTCATGAATGACCCAAAATATATTTGTAACTGACATTGTCCAATTAGATGGAGTAGCTAATTTTTTATTCTCATACTTAGGCCTTATTTGGTTGACAACATAAAATAGGGGAAGTGAAAATTCATGGGATTTGACAAACTGAGGAGTTGTTTGGATGACACAAAAAAACAAAAATGGGAAAGTGGAAATTCATGGGAATTTCAACTTCCCACAAAACAAGGGAAGTAAATAACCTAGTCTCCCCTAAGTCAATCAAAATACACGGGATTTCTAAATTCCCACATTGCTAACCAAACAAATTTAGGAAATTCCTAGGAATGTCATGAAGGAAATTACTTCCCATGAAATGTAATTTCCTTTGGGAATTTAATTCCCATGTCAACCAAACAAGGCCTTATTAAGTTTTTAACTATGGAGTAGCTATTATTTATTTTCATACTAACTAAGTTTGTAACTGACCAAAAATAAAATCTCCAGAATATATTCAACTTTTCACCTTCATACGAAGTACTATAATTCTTTTATTTTTTTAAGTTTTAACGTATCGTCAATAACATCACCATCCAATCTCAATTAATTACTTCATTACAGTCACTAAACCCTTTTATATAAATCATCCATTTCTGTCAAATATTTCATTACTAATCACCCTTGTTTAGGGGTATTTAAAATACCCCTGACAAATGGGCCTATGCTAAAGTGACACGTGTCACTAAGCCCATCAAGCTCCTCTCCCAAATCTCTATAAATACAAACCATTTGCATCAGTTGTAAAGGATCACAAAAATTTTAGAGAGAGAGAGATTCATTCACATTGAATTCACCTTGGATTCATGATGATTACTCCTCCAACCCTCAAATCAGAGAGTGAAACACTCAGATTTCGAGGTTGCCTCAGGCAGCCGGAAAACACATTTACATTTCGCAATACTCTCCTTACACACGTTCTAACTTGATCGTCGGAGGCGGAACTCCCACGGGAGTTTCGTTGTTTTGCAGGTACAGACAGCTGGAGGTCAGTCTAGGTGTTGTAACTCTCCCGCAGGACACATAAAAAACCCCGAAACAACCCTTATATACAATATTAGAATATATAGAATATGTCAGCTTCCACTATTAGAGGAGAGAGATCATCAAGAGAACGACTAATATACTTTGTAGTATTCATTGTGGGTGCTATTATGGAGAGGAAGATTGCATAGAGATCAATAAAAGGAGGGTCTAAACAACCAATGCGATAATGAAAAGGTAAACAATTATCATCCATATACATGATGATGAGCAAGGGTATAGTAGTCTGTTATAATTGTTGTAGGGTGACACTATTAACCTCTTAAGAGTGAAGGGAGGGGCCAACTATTAGCTTAGCTTAATTTATAGCTCAAGTTCACAGATCCAATACAGATATTATCTCATCTCATTCCATAGTTCAACAATTCGCTTAATTCATTTTTTACATAAACACATGTAATGCAATGACCCGGGGCAACGCCCAGGCCACCAACTAGTTTTTAAACTTATAAAGGATTTTTAAAGGTTTGAATTAGATTAGACTGGATATCATAAAGTAAAACCTATTTACCATAATAATTGCTTTTGGCCTAGTTTGAAATAAATTTTGAAGCCCCTACTACATAATATATACGAGTAATATATATTTCGTACCAAGCATGAGTTATGTCATCGCCAGTTTCGCCACTGCCATAATTGCAATTAATAAGGAATTAAAGATTAAAATTATAATTCTCAACCCCTCACCCCCACCAAAATCCCACGTACCAAACTGTCCTTAAACTTTTATAATTGTCATAACTCATAAGGTATGTTTAATTTGGATTAAAGAGGTGCCATAAAGTATTAGGTATGATGTTATGTTTTAAATTTTGATTAAGTAAATTAATATGTCTATTGACATTTTCATGTCCCAAAATAAAAGGAAAAAAAAAAAAAATTAGGTATTAATTGCCGACCATCCACTCACCTTTAACCAAACTATCAAATTACTCCTAAATAATTAATCAAAAAACTTTCAAAAAGATTTTAATAATTAAAAATAAAAATAAAAATAAAAATAAAAATAAAAGATAAAGCAAAGACAAAACTTCTATTCTCTAGCAGTATACTGAATAATTAATTAATTCTATGAACTTAAGCACCAATTCCTGGATTTAATCACATAAAACATGACATTAAAGCTTCTTTAATTACTATTAATCATCCAATATAGCCCCCAAAGCTAGAAGAATCGGAACCTTCCCACCTACCTTACTCCAAAAAAGTCTCTCTCATTCTAAATTTGCTCTCAAATTTGGACCCATTTCAAGTAAGCATCTTTTTCTCTCTTTTTCACTGTATAATCCAAAGTTTTTGTACATATTTTTTGTAGTACTTAGAAGATTTGATTGATAATTACATTTATGCTTTTCTGGGTAGTTTAAAGATTTTGTTTCATGGGAGAAAAGATGTCTGAATCTGGGTTTTCTATACATAATGATTCAAGTGATGGTGAATTGTTGCGTGATATTGAAGAGATTAGTAATGCCCTTTATTCAATGAACAAAACCCATGAAAATTCTGTGATTTCTTACTCTAATTATGGACCTAAATCGCATTTTAGTGTACCAAAATCGAACCCGAAACCAGGGTTTGATAGAGAGAAAGAGTGGTTGAAGGAGGAGCATAAGCAACATTCATCAATTTGGGGTTGGAAACCCTTTAAGGCATTGTCCCACATTATTAGGCAGAGGAAATTTACTTGTTATTTCTTTTGTCATGTTCATTGTATTGAGAATTTGATGTTGGATTTCAAAGATATTTGTTTGAGTGTGCATTGGAAGAGGAAGGATGTTGTGCTTAAGACCCGTCCGTCGAGGGTTTCGAATGGCATGGTTGAGTTTGAGGAGACATTGATGAGTAAATGTACTGTTAGTGGCTCTAAAAATGGTCATGGGGGTTTTGTGAAGTATGAGCCTAAGCATTTTTTGTTATATGCGTCGATAGTTGGGACAGAAGGGTTAGATATTGGGAAGCATTGGGTTGATCTTACAAGATTGCTTCCTCTTACTTTGGAGGAGTTGGAGCAAGATAGATGCTCAGGAAAATGGTCGACGAGCTTTAAGCTTGCAGGCAAGGCGAATGGTGCTACTTTGCATGTTAGTTTTGGGTTTTTGGTTACAAAGGATGGATTAGCTGAATCAGGTAGTTGCATAAAACCACCTCTCGCTCTTAGCTTGGAGGGAAATGAATTGAACAGGATGAGCTCTGTTGATTCTGGTTCTGTCAGAGGCAATACCTCACTTAGGCGGGTGGGGAGTGTTCCGAGTAGCTTAAATAATGCTTCTTGTTATTCATCTCAATACCTGGATGCAAAGATTGGTGGGCCGAAGGATGAATATGATTTCTCAAATTCCATTGATATGCTATATGGTAAGCTTGAGGAAGGGAGGGTTGATAGTCTGACAAAGTTTGATAAGGTTATTGAACAGTTGGAGTCGATTCAGTTGGGTCCAAACTCATTATCTAGTTCTGTAAAAGATTTTTGTGGAACCAAACATGATGATGCTGAGTTTACAGTGATAGAAAAGGGAGTAGAATCAGAGTGCTCCCCCAAGGAAGCGAAAAAGTTGGATGAATGTATCCCTGCAGACTTGGAAGCCTCAGCTGTAGAAATAATTGATGTGGCTGAGATTTTCAAGGGTGAAGAGATATGCTCAGAGGAGGAGACAAAGGTTGCTAATTGGGATGAAGCCTTGAATTGTGTTTCAGAAGAGGCTCCTATAGATAAATACAGTGTTGATATTAAAGAGTCATATCTTGAAGAAGAGGCTTTAGATTTGCTTAAGATGTTTATTTCACAGTCTGATGAATTAGAAACGTCAGAGGATGATATGTCTGTTGAGATTAAAGCCAAGTATAAAGGAAGTAATCTGGTCAAATCATTGAGCTTAAATGACTTTGAAAGAACTGTGGCAGATGATTTCTGTAATCTGTTGCAAGACTTGCGTACTCCCTCAAACCGGAGTTTCAATGGCGGGCTTGAATCTCCTCGAGAACGCCTTTTAAGACAGTTTGAAGAAGATATGATGACTTCAGGTAGCCTCTTCTTGGGTGCTGATGTACAAGATGATGTGTCTGATTATGACTTTGCAGCTTTTGGTGTATCCTCTTCAGAATATAATTTTGAGAGTGTAGATCACTCGCCTGTCATTGATACTGCAGGCCTTGAAGTGAATGAAAGTTTACAACAGGCATTGAGAAATAAACTGAAAGCAAAAAGCCTTGAACGCTTGGAAACTCAGACCTTGATGCAAAGATGGGGTTTAAATGAGGAAGCCTTCCAGAGCTCCCCTTATTATAGCACTGGTGGATTTGGGAGTCCTGTTTTTGTACCACCTGAAGAACCAATAGGATTGCCTCCCCTTGCAGAAGGCCTGGAACCATTGCTTCACTTAAATGATGGAGGATATCTGCGGTCTATGAGCCCTTTGCTTTTCAAAAATGCTAACAATTGTGGGAGCTTGATCATGCAAACGTCGAAGACTCTCGTGCTACCCACAGAATTGGGTTCTGATATCATGGAGATATTGCAGTGTTTGGCATCGGTTGGCTGTGAGAGACTGTCCAAGAAAGTGCATAGTTTATTGCCTATGGAAGATCTCTCTGGAAAAATTATGCAGCAAATAGCATGGGAGGCTTCATACTATGCTGAGGTGTCCGAAAGGTTTGTGAATTGCTTATTGATGCTTTGCTTGCTCCTTTCATCATCTAGGCCTTGTTTGGTTTAGTGTAAAAGTCTAAATGCCCATATAACTTCAAGTTTACTTATTTGGCTAACTTCCATGGAAGTTAATACTTGTATTTCTGGAGTAAGTTGTCTTAGAACATGGAAAGTTGCTTACTAAGAGAGGGTTGGTAAGCTGGATTTCCCATTGATATCTCTAACAAAAGTTTCTCCCCTCACAATTGGTACCTTTTTTTTTTTTTTTTTTGTTTTTTTTTGCCAATAGTTATTTTGTTTTTACATTTAATTATGTGGAAGTTGTTTTATACTTTTATGAACCAAACGAATCTACTTTGTGACATGACTTTTCTTGAAGCTACATTTCTATAATCATGAATTTTAATTTCAGTATACTTAACTTATTGGAAGGGGGTGGAAAAAACAGGTTTGATGGATTTGCATTTATTCTTACTACCTAAAGTTGGGATTGAGCTACACAAGGCCTAGATATGCTTTCTTATCTTGTTTCAATTGCTAACTTGTTTCCAATTGTTGCCATAGGTCTGCCTCTTCTCAGTATGAATCTGATGTCAAGATTGAGGTTGAGGGGCATCCATATGTTCAAGGTTGTAATTACTTTAGTTCAAGGTCAACTGGCGGTGATATCAGGTCAGAATATGTGGCTGCTAAAGATCTGGCCTTGTTGGCACTCGACAGTATAGAAGTCCTCATGATTGAGGGGTTGAAAATACAGTCAGGCATGCCTGATCACGATGCACCTTCCAGCATCAGGGTAAAATCTGTAAAAGAGGTCAGATATCAACCTGGGATTGACTACTTTGATGACTCTTCCGACTATGTTAATGGATTGTTGGATCTTTCTATTTCATTAGCTGAGTGGTTAAGGCTGGATTCTGGAATGTCAGGTGATGAAAATCACGATGGTAAGAGTACAATGAATGTGCTAAGAGCTCATCATGCCAAGTCTAGCTATTTTAACAACAAATTGGCAGGAGAAAATAACACAGAGAATGAATCGAGAAATTGTGGGATTTTGGGAGATAATCTTACATTAGTTATGATGATGCAGCTCAGAGATCCACTCCGAAACTATGAACCAGTTGGTGGCCCAATGCTCAGTCTAATTCAGGTCAAGAGACTTATTGAACCTGTGATTTTAGCATTGGAAGGTGACAAAGAGGGAAAAGGCATGGTTTCCAGGTTCAGATTAGATGAAGCTCATGTTGCAGGATTGAATATTGAATCCAACAATCTAGAAACATGGTCTTCTAGGAGACAGAAACAATCGGGATCTCGGTGGTTGCTTGCTAGTGGTTTGACCAAGAACTGTAATTCTCGGTTTTCAAAGTCAAAGTCAAAGTCAATAATAAGAATCTCCTCACAAGTGCTTAGAAAACCATGGACACGAAACTTCATTTGGAGCCTTTCACATCCCATTCATGAAGTTGAAGCTGACCCTCTGAACCCACTCACTCGCAACCCTGACGTTATATTTCCTCAAGTGACTGTTTGATTCCCATGGTAAGAAACATGTTACCCAGATGAGACTATTATTCCCTCCTTTAGGAACTTGAAGCGCAAGTACGTATATCAAGTCATATATGTGCGTCTCTTACACCGTCGTTCTGTAACTATGATATGATACTAGAATTACGTTTTGTTCAACTGTTTTTGCTGTATATTGCTTCAGGATGGTGACTTGTTTTTGCTCTAAACAGGGTCATGGACTCATGGTCTGTAATTAGTCAATTAGTCAATGAAACTTTAGTGGTACATATTGGAGTATCTTTTGAATTCTTTTTAGGCCAATTATTGTGACTCTAAATGCGATGAGGTTTTTTGTTTTGTGGATGTAAATGTAACTCATTTTACCCTACATGACGTACATCTCTTTTCTGTTGATGATGTAACGACGCTTTGTAATGATTCACTGCTTAACCTTGGATCATACTTAAGGAAAAAGAAAAGTTCAGGTTCTCAGAATCTCATTCTTAAGGGGACCCAGCCACCTAGGTGGCTAGGTGAGTTGTCGTGCTAACACTGGTGGTTCTGTTTATTGGTTGTTCTGTATACTACATTACAGTAGCTTTCAGCTTACCTAAATTTGAAGGCAGGGTTGCTATACTAATGACAATAGTACTCCCTTGGTTCAAAAATAATAGTGATGTACACTATGTTGGCTGTTTAGAAATTAAAATTTTAGGGTAGGTCGTGTCGCACTTCCTCAAATTAGGAATAAATTATGCATGTTTTTACTAACGTATTTTTTACAAAAACTGACAAGTGATTGAGGATGGGAATGAGACAACTAGTCGACGACTATTTTCATGGGTATGCTGGTGAAATCATGGCAAGTTCTTAGTATGAGGCTGGGTAATTGCTACAGTATCAGAATTATTTTTGGGCAGAAGTAGTAGCTTAGAAACGAAAGTTTGCCAGGTAGTTTTGTATAAGCTGATGTGCTTATATTAGACTTCAGATGCCTTAATCTCTGGCAGAAAAGTTGTAGAACTTTGCTGTCATGTTTATCTTGTCATACTTTGAAGACCATCTTATTTGCAGTGGGAAAAAAACTTCCTTCTTTGGTAGAAGCTGTTATTTGCTGTGGCTTCCAAACATATCATCTTCTTTACAAAGAAGAATGCATTAATGTTCACTCATTGCTTATCCTAACAGTTATTCAAACTTCAAACGTATGTCAGACAATTGATTCTGCTGCTTGTATAGAGTTAACTTATTTATTGGTTTCTAATTCTCAATCATCTAAGTACATCTAGTCAAATGTTTTTCTATGTTCCCAAAACTGAATCATGTACTAGATGTTTACGTTGTGTTTGTCTAACAAGGTACGCATTGAACAAGGGATGTATTTACCAAATAGTCCTTCATGAACCAAACTACATCTAGCTTTTGATTAAGGAAAGGAGGGTATGATAGACTCCTCACCCTGGGATAGTTGCGTATATGGTAGGTTGTGTCGCACTTCCTCAAATTAGGAATAGATCATGTACTAGACGTTTACGTCGTGTTTGTATTACTACCGTAGAAAGAATCGTATTGAGTATACATTCTTGACAACATGCAATTGTTCTGTCAAAATAGGTCCAATTATAAGTACTTGTTCTGCTACATTCAAAGGATATGTATCTGAATATTCGACTTCATTCAAATGGATAATTATCTTACAAACTGTTCCGGACTAGAAATATGATTTCAGACTGCCAGATTCAGCTGTAGTTTCTGATTTACATAGTTCAATGGGGTTGCCTCACTATCTTTATTTTTCTCTTTTCAGTTGAGACATCACCAATTCACCATAATATTTGTGACTGAAAAATAGATATGAAACGAAGTATACTCTGTATATACTACTACTGCTGTTAAAACAGAAAGTGGCACACTACATCTAACAAGCCTAAGATGACTAGTGTTTATTGTGTTCAATTTGTTACTGCAGTATTGATTTACAGATCTCGGATCTCCGGACAAAAGTGAAACACATGACAGTATGTGGAAAAAAACTTTTGCTGATCCCATATGGTCTGCCATCAATCCACCAAGCTCTGAAGGAGGAAACTGAAGTTCCTTGCAGCTGACAAGCACTTGCAGAGCATAGATCTCTGACAACATCCTCGAAGTTAACTACTTTGGGGCGTCATGGATATGATTGCCTTCATATGTTGTTATTACGTATTTCATGTCATCCCGGTCTCGTTCTACTCTCTTCTTTACAGGACAACCGTCTACAGCACACCTATAGTAGTTCCTGCATAAGTTTCAAAGAATGATCAGCTGTAGGCCTGTATTAGTAGGCTAGTAGCAGTAAACTAGTACATTAAACTCGGTAATGTGTTGTTCATATCATTATGCTGAAAATAGGCTTTGTGGGAGTTAAGTTACCTTGGGGTTGGGCTGTTTTTCACCATCTTCTTGCCATACTTTCTCCATTTGTAACCATCATCTACGACATCAATCTCCGATTTCATTCTGAGTGCAACCCTTTCCTTCTTCTCTTTGCCACTTCTAACTGCTCCTGCTAATAATAGTGAGTGAAAAAAATAAAATTCAGAATGAATATATTTATGCATGCTATATTATCCAAGTATAGCTAAACAATATAGAAAGAAGAGGGAAAAGGCGGTATATTGAACTCGCTTACTGCTGTTCTCTCCCTCGTTTTGGATGTTGCTGCTTCCCCCAAAATCATATAGCTCATTTCCTTGATACCCGAAATTCTGATTACCCTGTGAACCGAAATCCATGGACTGCTGCTCGTTGCCCCAGTCTTCAAAGGAGAAAAAGTCTGAAACCTCGAAATCAGTACTCTGCTCGAAAAAATGATCACTTCCTGAGGACTCAATTGAACTGAAAGTGTTAGTAGTAGTTGTCATAAGGTGTTTGTTGTTGTTTAGGTATGCAAAGGATGGGAGAGTCGAATAAGGAACGAAACACGAAACGTATACGTTGCTTGCCATTGTCAATAACAGGAGTAGCAGGATACATATAATGTGCAAGATATTCGCGCTTATTACATCAGTGAAACCTTCCTAGGAGCTTCCATTGACATTTAAGTTACAAGGGAAGTTTCATAGGTTGGTTCTCTGGATTAAGTGATGGCTATATAGGAAAGTAACTAAGGGGGGGGGGGCTGTTGAAGTGTGCAATGGTAAAAGTGTTTATATTTGAAAGGGAAAAGGACTATACCATTTGCTATGGATGACTTGTGAGTAGACTTTGGTTTAATAATATTTTCGGGGTTGATTTCGTGACGTAATTCTATAATTTTCGATTTTTCGCAACAATTTGACTTTTACAATATTCATATATAGAGTACAAAATATTAGGTTTGACTATATTTTCTTACTGGTTTATAATGTTACCGTGTAATATATTGTTGAATTGGTTTCAAGGTATACATTTCAAAACTTATAATAACTTTTACTATATACTTATTAAATTGCATGTCTGATATATAGTGTTAAACTTAATTATACAATAGAGTGTATTGGTCAAATTGTTGCAAGTATATAAGAACGAAGGGAATTATTTTATAATTTTATTTGAGTGGATGTGCTTAGACCAACCCGTCCACCAAGGGAGGAATACAAGTCAAATTCTTTGATTATCATTATATGATATGAAGATCTTATTCATATTTATAGTTATGGTGTATTAATATATATGGTCTACCATGTATTATCAAAAATAGGACTATATTAACACTTATTAAAAAGCAGCATGCCTTTTTGGTTTATAGATATTATCCTTGCACTTGTAGAAACCTGCAGGAACTGATCTCAGCTGCAGTTAACTGGTAATCAGCTTTCATAATATTATCCTCCCTCTCTCTAAATTCTAAATATAGTAACCACAAGTTTTAACTTAAGTAACCCCTCTTCGCCTTTTAATTGCAATATTTGAATTTTTTAGATTATTTAGAACTCTAACCATCTTTGGTAATATGTGTAAAGAAAAATATATTTATATAAGATTTTGTTAAATAATTTTTTTTTTTTGAATAAAATCTTGTTAAATAATCTTTATATGAATTACATAATTTTTAAAATATTAATTTTTAATAATAAAAAGAATTCATAAGTTGTGCATTGGTTATTGTGTGAAATTCAAAATATTGCATTTAAAATTTAAAAGAAAAAGATTGGTTAGAAATCAAATAAAGAAATTGCAATTTGAAGTTGTTTGAAAGTTTATTGATCAATTTTTCTTTTTTTTTTTTTACAAAAATAATTTTTGAATTTTCTATACATTTTGATTTCAATTTCACGAATTTTTGTATAAAGTATTACGTACAATACAAGTATTGGAATATTTTTAAAACTTCATGTAATGTTATATTGAATCCTTAATAAAAATAAATAGTAAATTTAAATTAAAAATTATTTGAATTAACACAAAGTTATAGGTGGTTTTCCCAAAAAAAAAAAAAAAAAAAAAAAGTTATAGGTTAAGGGTTCGTTTTATTCACCTAAATTATTTTTCTGATCATTTGAACTTATTGAATTTGGGTTGTCCTTATTAGTTTTTAATACAAAGTAATTTTTTTCACCGAACTTAATTATTGTAATTTATTTAAATTAATTAATCCTTATCTAAACTTATTCTTAAATTAAAGAAGATTAAATAAGGTGAATCGAACTTTAAATCTCTCTTAAACTACTAAAAACACGAGTTAACAATTAAACTTATTACTTTATTAGCATCACTCAATAAAAAGTAAGGTTAACGACTAATACTAGTTTGTCAACTAGAACTTGGGAGCTAAGTCTTTTTTCATAAATAATACTTCCTTCGTTCTAGTAATATTGCAACAACTAGACTTTTACACTATTCATTACGCTTATTTGACCACATATTATAATTTATACGTAAAGTAAAATATAGTCATGTGGGGTCTTATTAAATTTGTCTCGTAAAATATTTTCACAATATCAACTATTTATAATTTTTACTCTTATATAATTATAGATATTTAGCATAATGTGCTTTGAAATGCGTAATTTCATGCTTGTTACAATATTTGTGGAGCGGAGCAGAGCATAGAAAGTATAACAACTTAGAACTCAAATACATAGTATAACATACTTCGTATATCATTATTATATCATACAATTATCACACAATCACAGTTATTATAATCATATTATCGTTATATTTTCTAGAAGAGCTTATCTTATTTATATTATTATTAATTTAGTATTAGTCGTATTATTATATATATAGAGCATGTGTTAGTTTAATTGTTTTTCCCTTTGATAATACTTTATAAAAAGTTAGAAGATGTCGCTAATATAAGATGCATTATTAGGCTGTAAAAGACTTTTTGACTAGTACTGACCAATGACTATTGACTAAAGACAATTAAAAAATTGTGTCCAAATGAGCTGAA